CATCATCATCAGCAGCATCAGCATCATCATCATCATCATCAGCAGCATCAGCATCATCATCGTCATCATCATCATCAGCCTCATCATCAGCATCATCGTCACCATTAGCATCGTCATCATTATCAGCATCACCACCACCACCACCATCATCATCATCATCATCAGCAGCATCAGCATCAGCACCAGCATCAGCATCAGCATCAGCATCATCATCATCATCATTATCCGCATCATCGTCATCATCATCAGCAGTAGCATCGTCATCATCCTCATCGGCAGCAGCATCATCAAGATCAACATCATCAGCATCATCAAGATCAGCATCGTCATCATCATCAGCGGCAGCATCACCATCATAATCAGCATCATCACCCCATCACCATCACCACCACCGTCCCAAATCAACAACAACAACAACAACAACAACAACAACAACAACAACAACAACAACAACAACAACCATTTTAAGGCTGTACGCTCTTACTTGCCCGCGAGTCATTCAACACGTATACCCTACACCCTCGATACCCGCCCTCTTCGTCTTCGATCACACCCCTTTCGGGGGGATTATTTCTCTTTGCTGGGGCCGGCGGGCTTAGACGTACGGGCAAACCGGAACGGGCGGACAATCCTTCGGGGGCGTACATCTCTCTGCCCGCCATTGGAATTGGCGCGGGCCCTGCAAGAGGAGGAGGGGAAGAACGAGGGAGAGTGGGAGGAAGGGGAGGGGGAAGGACGAAGGAAGAGGGAAGATACCACGTTGTGAAGGCGTCCTTGGCGCGTGCGTGGTTCCTGAGCGCCGAAACGCAATTCCAGAATAATTTGTGAGGACGTCGCACGCGAGAGCGCAGTCCTGAGTACATTGTGAGGAAATCTCAGGCGGAAGCGGGGGCCCTGACTAAGTTGCGAGGAAGTCTCAAGCGGGAGCGCCGTTCCTGAGCAAATTGCACGGAAGTCTCAGGCGGGAGCGGGGGTCCTCACTAAATTGCGAGGAAGTCTCAGGCGGGAGCGCCGTTCCTGAGTCAATTGCGCGGAAATGTCAGGCAGGAGCGGGGGTCCTGAGTAAAATTCGAAGAAGTCTCAGGCGGGAGCGCCGTTCCCACGTAAATTGCACGGAAGTCTCAGGCGGGAGCGGGGGTCTTGATTACATTGCGAGGAAGTCTCAGACGGGAGCGCCTTTCCTGAGTAAATTGCGCGGAAGTCTCAGGCGGGAGCGGGGGTCCTGAGTAAAAATCGAGGAAGTCTCAGGCGGGAGCCGTTGTTGTTGTAGCCCGGGGGGCAGGGGCACAGTTTGAGCAGGAAGACTTTCCTTGAGAAAAAACAAGGTGCGAGCCCCGGGGGTGGCACTTCAATCGAAAAAAATCAATGTGCACCGGTGGGGGGGATCAACAATAATTATTCTTCAAGAATGAGAGTTCAACAACAACAACAACAACAACAACAACAACAACAACAACAACAACAACAACAACAACAATCATTTTACCCGAACGCTCAGTGTTCTCACCAGTGCCAGGGTTTTCATGCGACGCGAGACAATACCCCCACTTCGTGGGGGGGCAGTTCAAGCTCTACCAAATATCCAAACGACTCTTCGCGACCACCCAAACCCAGCTTCCCGCCCTATGACGTTGGGACACTTCACTTCGTGGCGTGCGGACGACCGTGGCTACTACACTGGCGTGGGGTACACACCCACAGAACTTGGTCACTTATTCGGGGCGCGCGTGTGCCCAGCATCCTGCAATTGAGACATACAATACATGACACAGACAGACAATGAGAGAGACAGAGAGCAGACAGAGAGAGAGACAGAGAGAGCGGAGTTGGTCACATTTTTGGGGCAAGTTCCTGAGATCGTCGTGTTTTTTGTTGGTCTTGCGCGCGCGAATGTCCACTTTACTTTTTTTTGCAAGGGAGTATTGAAATTTGATTATGTTAGAACAAGAAAAAGTAGCTCGCGCGAGCTCATGTAACATAAATGTTGAAAAACCATTGGTTTTGTGGGAGTCGGACAGCGCGCGCGGGATGAAATTTGGACATTTTTTTTTGAAAAACCATTGGGTTTTTGATGTTTTTATGTTGAAATCGTTACGAAACCTAAGGTTCTGGAAGGATTTCGTCTTGCGCGCGCGAATGTCCACTTTACCTTATTTTTTGCAAGGGATTATTGAAATTTGATTATGTTAGAACAAGAAAAAGTAGCTCGCGCGAGCTCATGTAACATAAATGTTGAAAAACCATTGGTTTTGTGGGATTCGGACAGCGCGCGCGGAAGGACATTTTGACAATTTGTTCTTAAAAAACCATTGGGTTTTTGATGTTTTTATGTTAAAATCGTTACGAAACCTAAGGTTTTGGAAGGATTTCGTCTTGCGCGCACGAATGTCCACTTTACCTTATTTTTTGCAAGGGATTCTTGCAATTTGATCAAGTAAGAACAAGAATTTTCATTTTATAGTGTTTTTTGCAAGGGAAAGCGGGGGGGAACAAAAAACCGGATCCGGTGACAATCCACTTTTCTGAAGCTTTCGCAGAAAAATGATGAAAATGTAGCTGCGGCCTAGGTTTTGGAGGGGGGTCGTGCACCAGGGGTCCCAACAATAATTATTCTTTAGAAGTAATAATGTTCAACAACAACAACAACAACATCACCAGCATCGTCATCACCATCATCGTCATCATCGGCAGCAGCATCATCATCCTCGCAGTGCTCCTCCTCCTCCTCGCAATCCTCGTCCTCCTCGTCCTCCTCGTCCTTCTCCTCCTCCTCCTGCTCCTCCTCCTCCTATTCCTCCTCCCCCCCCCCTGTCCTCCTCGTCCTCCTGCTCCTCCTCCTCCTCCTCTTCCTCCTCCTCCCCCTCCTCCTCGTCCTCCTCCTCTCCTCCTCCTCCTCCTCTCCTCTCCTCTCCTCCTCCCTCCCTCCTCTCCTCCTCCTCCTCCTCCTCCTCCTCCTGCTCCTCCCCCCCCCCCCTCCTCCTCCTCCTCCTCCCCCTCCTCCTCCTCCTCCTCCTCCTTCCTCCTCCTCCTCCTCCTCCTCCTCCTCCTCCTCCTCCTCCTCCTCCTCCTCCTCCTCCTCCTCCTCCTCCTCCTCCTCCCCTCCTCCTCCTCCTCCTTCCTCCTCCTCCTCCCCCTCCTCCTCCTCCTCCTCCTCCTCCTTCCCTCCTC